GTTATAATATAAAAAGGTGTAGCCACTTAAGAAAAGAGTCTACTGGGGGCTCAGGTTGTAGCTCAGTAGTACAATGCTTGCCTAGCATCTGTGAAGACATGGGTTTGATTCTCAGCACTGCATATAGATAAAGAAAGTAAAAAAGAAAAGAAAGGTTCACTGAAAACTAAAAAATGTTAAAAAAAAAAAGTCTACCAATTCCTTAAAAGTTTAAATATAGGATTATAATATGACCCTGTAATTTTGTTTGTTTGTTTGTTTGTGTGTGTGTGTGTTGCTGGGGATTTAACTCAGGGCCTTATACATGCAAGGCAAACACTCTACCAACTGAGCTATACCCCCATCCTATGGCCCTGTAGTTCTACTTCTAGGTGTATACTTCAAAAATTGAAAATTTGCACCCACTACAACAGGCATTGTGTCACATATCTGTAATCCTAGGAACTCTGGAGGCTGAGGCAGGAGGCAGAATAGCCAAGTTTGAGGCCAGCCTCAACAACTTAGCAAGACCCTGTCTCAAAATGAAAAATAATGGGGCTGGGATTGTGGCTCAATGGTAGAGCACTCGCCTAGCACATGCGAGGCCCTAGGTTCGATTCTCAAAACCACATTTTAAAAACAAATAATAATAAAAAGGGCAAATGATATAGGTCAGTGGTAAAGTGCCCCTGAGTTCAATCTCTATACATTCACCACAAACTTGTACACATGAATGTTCACAGTAGTATGATTTAATAGTTACAAAGTGAAAACCATATAGTTCAACATTAGGGATGATCACTTGAGTCTAAAACCAGCCTGGGCAACACAGCAAGAACTTATCTCAAAAAAATTTTAAAAATGAGGAAGTGAGGGGCTGGGGTTGTGGCTCAGTGGTAGAACCACTTCCTAGCATGTATGAGGCACTGGGTTTGAACCCCAGCACCGCATATAAATAAATGAATAAAATAAGTCCATCAACAACAATAATTTTTTTTTTTTTAATGAGGAAGTGATACATGCTACAACATGGATGAATTCTGAAAACATGAAGCTAAGAGCCGGGCATGTAGCTCAGTGATAGAGATTTGTCTAGCACTCATGAGGCCCTAAGCCCATTACCCAACACTTTCAGAGGAAAAAAAAAATTATGCTAAGTGACAGGTGTGAATCATACGATTAATTTATATGAAATGGGCCGGGGTTGTGGCTCAGAGGTAGAGCGCTCACCTTGCATTCATGAGGCACTGGGTTCGATCCTCAGCACCACATATTGTGTCACACCTATAGCACAACGTATTGTGTCCACCTACAACTAAAATATAATTTTAAAAAATTTATATAAAATGTTCAGGATAGGCAAATCTATAGAAAGATTACAAGTTGCCTAGAGATGAGAGCAATGAATAAGTGTTGGTGGGTAATAGCAAAAGTTATAGGGCTTCTTGGGCTGGGGATGTGGCTCAAGTGGTATGCGTGCGGCCCGGGTTCGATCCTCGACATACAAACAAAGATGTTATGTCTGCAGAAAACTAAAAGATAAATATTAAAATTCCCCCTCTCTCTCTCAAAAAAAAAAAAAAAGTTTATGGGGCTTCATTTTTGTGTGTTGTCGTAGGAATCAAACGCAGGACCTCATGCATGCTAGGCAAGCACTTTACCACAGCCTCACACTTCTCTTGGGGTGATGAAAATGCTCTAAAACTGTGGCTGAACACAATGGTTTATGCCTCAGGAGGCTAAGGCAGGAGGATCCCAAGTTCAAGTGTCAAATAAAAAATAAAAAGGCTTTGGTGTGTGGGGCTGGGGATGTGGCTCAAGTGGTAGGGCGCTCGCATGGCATGCGTGCGGCCAGGGTTTGATCCTCAGCACCACATACAAACAAAGATGTTGTGTCCGCCGAAAACTAAGAAATAAATATTAAAATTAAAAAAAAAAAAAGGCTTTTGGTGTAGTTCAGTGGTAGAGCACCTCTGGGTTCAATCTCCAGTACTGAAAAAAAGAATAAAAAATTGATTGTAAATTATATCTTGGCTTGGCTGTAACCAAGCCAGTTGTAGTAGCACACACCTATAATCTCAGCAACTCGCGAGGCTGATACAGGAGAATAGAAAGTTCAAAGATAGCCTCAGCAACTTAGCAAGGCCTTAAACAACTTAGTGAGACCCTGCCTCAAAAAAAAGAAAGAAAGAAAAAAGCGGTTCCAAAAGAAAAGTTGGGAAACTCACAAATAATAAATGTTTTACGGTGATTACAAAAGTGAATCAAGGGGGCTAGGGCTGTAGCTCAGTGGTGGAGCACTTGCCTAGCACTCGGGAGGCACTGGGTTTTATCTTCAGCATCACATAAAAATAAATAAATAAAATAAACTTATTGTATCCCTCTACAAAAAAAAAAATGAATCAAGTCTGAATGCCAGTTTATTGTTCTTCTGCAGATTAATTTATAAGTCTGTATTCTTCCAGCTCTCCACAAATAAATATTATTTCATACTTTGATATTCTGTTACTGGAGTTAGCGTGTAACTCAGAGGTAGAGCATTTGCCTAGCATGCACAAAGTCTTGGGTTTGATCCCAAGCACCACCTCCCAAAAAAAAGAAAAGAAAAAGAAAAAAAGATGACAAATAATGAAGACATAATACAGAACCCTGTAAACTTATCTGGGATTAATTCCTAAAATATTAATGTTTTGTGTAAATAAAAATTGATGTGAGGCAGGTTATAGCTCTTATAATTTATAAATAACAAAGAAACAAACCTAGGAGTCACTCAGAAATAATGCTTTTAAAAACACATTTATCTCTGGGATTGTTGTCACTGCCCTCATTTCAAAGATAAGAAAATCTGAAATCAAACAGGTTTGACAACTTGTTCATGACCTCGAGAGATTTGGAAATTTTCTTTTCCTTTTTTTTTTTTTTTGGTTGAGGGGGTAACTTGGGGATTGATTGGTCAGGGGCACTCAACCACTGAGCCACATCCCCAGCCCTATTTTTTGTATTTTATTTAAAGAGAGGGTCTCACTGAGTTGCTTAGCACCTCACTATTGCTGAGGCTGGGTTTGAACTCAAGAGCCTCCTGCCTCAGCCTCCTGAGCTGCTGGGATTATAGGTGTGTGCCACAGCCCTGGACTGGAAAATTCCTGATTTCCCCCAAATTCATAATGTAACATGCAAGGGAAACACAGAATAGCAGTATCTACTCTTTAAACATGAACAAATTTAGGGACACTTTTCCACTGAAGCTTATAATCTTCCACAGAAACTCTTTGCCAGCTGTGACTTGAAAAAGTCCCCCCCAGTGTGATCTAATAACACTAAGATTCTTCATCTCTCAAATGTTTTCACTATTTTGTTAAATTCTATCACATAAAAAGTAGGATACTGGGGCTGGGGATGTGGCTCAAGCAGTAGCCCGATGGCCAGGCATGTACGTGGCACTGCTGGGTTTGATCCTCAGCACCACATAAAAAAAAAAAATAAAGATGTTGTGTCCACCGAAAAACAATAAATATTAAATAATTCTCTCTCTCTCTCTCTTAAAAAAAAAGGATACTTATATTGTTAAATTGGCAAATCATATGCGAAAGAAATCAAGAAAATGAAACTGCTTCTAGACATTCCTTGCTTAAACAAGTTGTAAAAAGTGTTGTTTTCTTTCATGCAATAAACTAAACAAGATACTGTCTGCTTATCAAATATTATTCAATTGTTTTAAACAAACTAAAAATATATGGGGCTGGGGTTGTGGCTCAACAGTAGAGTGCTCGCCTAGCATGCATGAAGCACTGGCTTCAATCCTCAGCGCCACATAAAAATTAAATAAAGATATTGATTCCACCTAAAACTAAAAAAATAAATAAATAAATGTGTGTGTGTGTGTGTGTGTGTGTGTGTGTGTGTGTGTGTAAAGAAATGCATACTCGGGGCTGGGGATGTGGCTCAAGCGGTAGCGCGCTCGCCTAGAATGCGTGCGGCCCGGGGTTCGATCCTCAGCACCACATACAAAGATGTTGTGTCCGCCGAGAACTAAGAAAAAATAAATAAATGTTAAAATTCTCTCTCTCTCTCTCTCTCTCTCTCTCTCTCTCTCTCTCTCTCTCTCTGTCCCCCTCTCTCTCTCACTCTCTCTTAAAAAAAAAAAAAAAAAAAAGGAAATGCATACTCAAGGCAGGCGCAGTCAGTGGGGGGCATGCCTCCAATCTCAGAGGCTCCTTAGGCTGAAGCAGGAGGATCTAGAGTTGAAATCCAGCCTCAGCAACTTAGCGAGATCCTGTCTCGAAAAATAAAAAGGGTTGGGGATGCAGCTCAGTGGTTACGTGTTACTAGGTTCAACCTCTGGGAAAGGAAGGGAAGGGGGAAGGAGGAAAGAAAGGAAAGAAAGAAATGCATACTCCAGCAAGCTGGGATGAAACGATCTGACACTGGTTTAAAATTCTTCAGCGAAGGGGGGAAAAGATATATCTGAAACATTTGTGATACATATTGACATGTTGAATGTGATCGTATAAAAGGTTCATTCATCTTTTTCTACTGTCTATGCTCAAAAAAAGTTTCACAATAACCTCCAAAATGAATTATTTTCAAATTTACTGTCCTGGTTATTAAATAGGCTGGATGTGAATACTCTGATCTTCGGAACTAAAATAGGTTAAGAGTCTCAAGCAAAGGCGAAAAATTTTTTGGCGGGGGCCGAAGTGGGCTCCACGCCTCTCCGGCCCTCTCCGCCACCAAGACTGAAAATCTGCACGCTTCCTTCAAGGCTGAATCTGACTAATCACTCGTCTGCTCTCGGACTCCAGAACCATGCAACTCAATTTGGAAATGACACACGCTGGGCGCAAGCCGGCGGCTCAGGAACCCAACAAACTCCATTAGAGAGCTCCCAGGTCCAGGCCCTGGACAGTCAGATTGGCCCGGGCGCAACGCCCGACCCACCGCAAGGCTCTGGAGACCTCTGAAGACTGCTTGCACCCCTCCCTCGGTCCCCACCACGAATCCTGGCCGGGTCCGCCGCATACCTTCCAGTTCCACGTCCTCCTCTGAGTCGCCGTCCGCTTCAGCTACAGCGTCCGGGCAGGGCTCTGGAGCATGTAAGTCTAAAGGAGGGGCGGTGGACGGCAATGAGGCTCGGGCGCGGGCCTCGCGCAGGCGGGTGAAGTAGTCCACCGCGAAGTCGACGAGGTCAGGAGGTTGCTGCCGCAGCACCTCCACTGTGTACCCCTGCAGCAGCTCTGTGAGCCCCGGCGGGATCTGAATGTGGCTCATGCCGGCGGCGGCCTCGGGGACTGGCGAGTACGGGCCGCCGGTGGCCACAGCCTCTGCGCTCCTTCACACCGGTTCTCTATAGGCGCCCGCGGTCTCCTAACGAGCGGCCCTGGTTTGCCTTCCTCGCGTCGCGCCCCTTTGGCTGGGTCTGTTTCTGAGCCACGCAACCCTACGCTACCGCGGCCAGTCTGGTGCTGCCGCTGCTGTCTCTGGGCCGCCGCCGCCGCCGCCACCGCCGCCGGAGGCACCCACAGCGAGGAGAGTTGGACAGGAGGGGCAGGCGCCCGAGTTGTGACGCACGCGGCCGCAGGCGTGCGCGTCCACGCCAAGCTCTGGTCCTCAGTGCGCGTGTGCCGCTGGGCGGCACACCCTCTGGAGATCTGTTCTAACGTTCTCAAAGTGCTTGACCTGCTGCTCCCAGCGGGGAACAGGGGAAATTAAGTAATAAGTGGTCTACCTACGAAGCGGGCTGGCTAGTGCCTCTCATTTGGTCAGAAAGACCCTTCATTTATTCTTTTAAAATATGCTAAGAGTCTCTTAAAGGACAAAAGGGATACAGATGCAAAAACACATGCCCACCTGACTGTTGCCTCTGGTAGAGAGCAAGAGGGCCCGCTTTAGGGGGTAAAGTCACGCTGACCCCAAGAAATGAGCAGGACCCGCCTAAAGGAAGATATGGAGGAAAACCATTTTAGCAAAGAGCACAGCAAGAGCAAAGAAAGATTTAGTCAAATCAAGGCCACTCTGGCTGACAGGTGGAATGACTAGAGGCCCCTTGGGAGTCTGGGCATGAGGTCTGTGACATGTCAAAATGGGAAGGCCTTGTAGGAAGTAGAAATTTCAGTGAGAAAATAATTTGAGAGCCACCAGCAGAGAAATAACATTGAAAAGGGTCACTCAGCCAGCTATATACAGTGAGAAAAGAATAATGCCCAGAGCAGAAACAAATTTTTCTCCCTGTCCTTCCTAAGGTCACAGGTCTAGATCTGTGAACCCCTTCTCTCTCCACATTCCACCCTGGACCCTGGGCCAGCACTGCTTGATAAAATTGAGTAGACCATAAAGTATTGTTATCCTTTGCACAGGTGAACAAAAGAAGCCAGGCTACTACCCAACTTCCCTCCTCCCACCAGATTGGAATGGAATAAAAGGTATTCCTTCCTGGGATGTCCATGCTAGAGGCCAGCTACTGACCAAAGACCAATAAGCATAGAACAGTCCTTCCTCTCCCTTTTCCTGCCAGGCCCAGTCAGTGATTAGCTGTAGGCTTGGGAAATGAAGGGCATTTGGGATGGTTAAGCACCACCTGGTAATTACACAGTATTAATTAAAATCCTCACTAGCACCTCCCATATAGCTTGGCACACACCCAGGAACTCAGTGCTGCTGGGAACTGTGCTGCTGGTAGCAGGAACATCTCATCTGCTCTGGTGGAGAAACCAGTCTAGGGTTTAGGCTACATAAGCCTGTGATTACAAACAGGAGTATCTCCAAGAACAAGCTTCTTGATTGTAGGGAGGAATATTTGACCATCAACTTTGTGAAGGAAGAGCAGTGTCCAATTTTTTGCCTGCTGGGTCCTTATTGCACACTCCTAGAGAGGGTTTACTAACTGAATGAATGAAAATGTCAACATAGGGCTGGGGATGTGGCTCAAGCAGTAGCGAGCTCGCCTGGCATGCGTGCGGCCTGGGTTCGATCCTCAGCACCACATACCAACAAAAGATGTTGTGTCCGCCGAGAACTAAAAAATAAATATTAAAAATTCTCTCTCTCTCTCCCTCTCTCTCTCTCTCCTCTCTCACTCTCTCTTTAAAAAAAAAAAAAAGAAAAAGAAATAAAATGTCAACATAGCAAGCAGAGCCAAGGAAACTTCTTTCCTTACCTCAGTCTCAGAACTAGAATCCTTTTCTTCAAATTCTGCTGATCTTATGATATGAAGACATCAGTATGGATAGGCATTAAGAGTGTTAAGGGTATCTTGACCCTTCCAAGTTTCCTAGAGATTAGCCCTTGACAGGGATACCCAGAAATCCTGGTGTGACTCTCACTACACCACCACACCAGAGGATCTGTCCCTCTTTATGCAATCCTACAGCCATTTTTTGAAAAGGCAAATTCATAATTCCACTCCAAAGTTTGGCCATACTGTCAGGTTTTATATATTTTAAAAGGGGGCAGGAAACTGTACAATTAGGACTCTGACCTCAATAATAAAATAGAGGAGAGAAAAGCTATTCCAAAGACTGGGGTTGTAGCTCAGTGTTTAGAGCACTTGCCTAGCACATGTGAGGCACTGGATTCAATCCTCACTAACACATAAAAAAATAAATAAATAAAGGTATTTTGTCCATCTTCAGCTAAAAATATTTTTTTTTAAAAAAAGGAGGTCTGTTGACAGCTAGATATGAGCAAGTTCTCCCAGTACAAGTAACCTCCACTGGCCTCTGCCAGAAGCAATTCTGCCCGACTTGTTCTTATATGTCCCACAGCTCCACCAGTCAGCCAAGCCAGCAAACAGCATTCAAAAGACATCCTAGCTGGTCACAGTGACACACAGCTGTACACGGCTATTTGGGAAACTGAGGTAGGAAGATCACATCTTTGGCATCAATCTGGACAACATAGTAAGACCCCCATGTAAATAAAAAGAAAAAAAAGTGGACTGGGATGTAGCTCACTAGTAGAGTGTGAGCTTTAGCACAAGCCCCTACATTCAATCCCCAAACACACACACATTAAAAAAGCTTCTTAAAAGGAATGAGGACCACATAAACTGGAACTCCTATACCTGCTGCTCACCTGTCTCCACAGACCAGACTCGAGTCAAGATGAACAGCCAGTCTCCATGTCCAACTTGACTCCTTCCCTCAGCCCTTGACCCCAGAGCAGGGGTCTATCTCTACCCCTTCTGGCAAATCCTTCATTAACAAGTGGAGCCCCAAAGACATTCATGACTACCCATTTGAGCTTGCCAAAGATGGCCCTGTAACAGGAAAGAATATCAGGAGCCTGATCCCTGCATCTTCCACCTTTATCCTGAATCCATCCTGCTTGCATTCAAGTTTATCCAGCTGCACCACTGGAGGTTACCATGGTAACCAAAACCACAGGCTGCCAGTAACTAGAAAACAGCAAGTGACAGAAAAGGCCAAGAGCAGAGACCCTCAGAAGCAAAAGAAATAGGAGGAGACTCCAGAACCCTGAGTGGTATATTCTGTTCACAACCCAGCAGGCAGTCAACATCTTGCATAGACTGCCACACCACCAACCCCAGGCACAGACTTGGACACTATGGGGCAAATTATCAGAGATGTTTACAATTTTACAATTAAGGATGCATAATAGCACAGGTGGGACATACAGTGGGCCTTGATAAAAATGACAACTTCTCTTTCCAGTGGAACAGTGAATTTCATGATTTTTGTGGGTTTTTTCCCCCTTTGCAGTGTTGGAGATTGAACCCAGGGCCCCATGCATGCTCGACAAGACTCTACCACTGAGCCACATCCCCAGACTCTTCATGAACTCTTTTTTAAATTTTTTAGTTGTAGGTGGACACACATTCTTTATTTCATTTTTATGTGGTGCTGAGGATCAAACCCAGTGCCTCATGTGTGCTAGGTGAGCACACTACCACTGAGCCACGACCCCAGCCCCTCTTCATGAACTTTTTTAAAATAGTTTTTTAGTTGTAGATGGACACACAATATTTTTATTTATTTTATGTGGTGCTGAGGATCGAATCCAGTGCTAAAGCTCATACTCTACTAGTGAGCTACATCCCAGTCCACTTTTTTTTTCCTTTTTCTTTATGTGGGGGGGGGGTGTCTTACTATGTTGTCCAGATTGATGTCAAAGTTATAATCTTCTTACCTCAGTTTCCCAAATAGCGGTGTAGAGGGGTGTGTGTGTCACTGTGACCAGCTAGAATGTCTTTTGAATGCTGTTTGCTGGCTTGGCTGACTGGCGGAGCTGTGGGACCTATAAGAACAAGCCCAGTAAAGCGAGGCAAACGCTTTACCACTGAACTACAGCCGGAGTCCTCTTCGTGAACTCTTAAAAGGTTTATTACTAAAAAGCTGTCTCCCTCCCCCATGTCTACTGCACTTCTCTCCAAGAAGAAGAGAAGCCCAAACTCCTCCAAAGCTCTACTCTTGGCCCAGACCCCAGGCTTACATACCTTATGCCCTCTGCCTACTGGGGGAACTCAGCTGCAGCAGGAACAACTCCCAAGTACCCGACCAAGGGTCCACTTCTCTAAGCCACTCCAGTCTCCCACCTATTTCCTCAAACCTGCTGGTTATCTGACCACCTCTGCAAGGCAGCCCCTTGCTGATCCAGTCCTCACAGTTCACTAGTACCTATCACTACCAGTATGTGTTTCACCTTAGAAATGTTAATGAGCTGGGAATGGTGGCACAAGACTCAGCTGAGGTAGGAAGATTGCAAGTTCAAGGCCAGACTCAGCAACTTAGCAAGGCCCTAAGTGACTTAGTGAAAACCTGTCTCAAAAAATAAAAAGGGCCGGGATTTAGCTCAGTAGTTAAACAACACCCAGGGTTCAATTCCCAGTACAAAAAACAAACAAACAAACAAACAAAAAACTTCATGAGCCTATAGTTGGCAGAGGGAATTGGGAAAGTGGGCAGTTTTTTCTATCCTCACTCAAGCTGCCCTTTACTCTCCATAATGCCTCCCCCTTGAGGCCACTGCCTTTGGTCTGATCTATTTTAACAAACATCCATGTTACAGGGAGCAGTTAATTCCCAGGCCACCTGTTTCTGTACCTGTGAGTCAACCCCTTCCCCAGGACACTGTGTCCCATGAAAGTGTCAGTCTCTATGGTAAAACTGCAGTCTTTTTCTGAGACACCTCAGGGCAAGGAAAGAAGCTGGAAAGCAAGGGGAAATCTAGACAGAGAATCATACCTGTATACTTACCACAACAGATAAAGCAGAAAACAGAGCCCTCAGGGAACACTTAGCCTTAGGGCCTTCTCAGTGCCTATCAGGACTCTGTGTGCCACCCTTGACCTGATTCACAGGATAGGTACCTGGGCTTTGACCCAGCAATACAGACAGGCCTCCTGGAGCCTGGGTCAAGTAGCTCCAAGAAAGCTTCCGATAGCATCACAAGTCTTTCTTCAGCATATCCAGACACCCTGTCTCCATTCTATTATCAACTTGTCAATAACTTTTACAAATCACTTTTTCCAGTCTGAGCTTTGGCTTCCACATCTGAAAGTAAGGGTAAAAATCTCTACTCATTAAACTTTGAGTTACATGGTGAAAAAAAAAATAATAGTATGGGAGCTAAGCATGGTGGTGCACACCTGTAATTCCAGCAACTTGGGAGGCTGAGGCAGGAGGATTGCAAGATTAAGGCCAGCTTTGGCAATTTAGCAAGACCTTAAGCAACTTAGGGAGACCCTGTATCAAAATTTTTTTAAAAAAGGGCTGGGGATGTGGCTCAGTGTTAAATACCCCAAGTTCAAGCCCTGGAACCCCCCAAAAAATTTTTAAAGGACTGGGGATGATGTAACTCAATGGTAAAGCACTCTTGGGTTCAATTCCCAGCACTATGATAGAGAAATCATGGGAGAGGACCCCAATTCCCAAACCTGCCTCCACCCTTCATACCCCTGCCAGGAGAGAAGAGATATCAGGAACAGGTGGCATTTCAAAGTGCATCATAAAAGGAAGCCCCAGTCAGGAGAAAGTCACTCACCATCTGCTCTGCTCCCTTCACAAATATGTTACCAAGGACTTCCCAGTTTGATTTAACATCTATTTAACACTAAAAGGAGTACAAAAATCTGCCACCACTAAGAAACCAGCTGGGCAGGGTGTCACATGCCTGTAATCCAAGCTGCTCAGGAGACTGAGGCAGGACTATTGTGAGTTCAAAGCCAGCCTCAGCAATTCAGTGAGGCCCTAAACAACTCAGCAAGACTCTGTCTCTAAATAAAATACAAAAAAGGGCTGGAGATGTGAATCAGTAGTAAAGTTCCCCTGGGTTCAAAGGACTAAAAAATAAAATAAGAAAAGCTTCAGGAGACAGTATGAGATATTAAAGATACAATATATGAGGGAGCAGGCTTAACACTGAATTAACCTTCCCAGGCAGGGGACTTGAAATTTTCATCTTTAAAAAACTATATTTTCTACTTGATCTTAATTCCTATCTGATCATATAGAAAATATCTTCCCAGGAATAAAGCCTCCTTCCTTGAAGTTGCAGATCAAGTCACCCTGTTCTCTCCACCCTTCCTTGAGTACTTAAGGCAATCAGAGAAGTCTGGGCAACTTCCTCCTTCACCTGCTAGAGGCCTTGCCTAAGGCTCCCAGGGAATGATACTGGATTCCTAATAACTTCCACCATGGACACAGATTGCCAGCTGAAATGTCACAGAATTGCAAGAAAAAATATCACACAATGCAAAAATTAGAAACAATATTTATTGTTTCCTGTAAAATTGGGTGCTTTCATGAGAAAAAAGTTGAAAAAAGAACCTTCATATATCTTGGGCTTTCACACTTATCCCAGTATGTTGGTACTGTCCTCACTGGGTAGGAGGGAAAATTCTTCACCTCCTCCTGGGAAATTAGGCTACTCTAGCTTTATTTTTGTGTATTTTCTTGCGTTAAACAAAAAATCCAATGGTTAACAGGTTATCTGTTACTAGGTATATCCACCTAGTCCACTTTTATAGACTAATATGGTCTTTAAATAAGTCCACATCTTTATGTGCATCCCAGGATTAGATGGCACCCTGGACATCAGTTGGGTTTTCCTGGCTAGGGATTGAAGATCAATCAACTGATTAGCTAGCTGAAAATCCGCATAGTGATGCCAATGAGAGGCTGAGATTACCTCTTTATCAAGGAACATTTTGGGTATAGTAGGGCTAGCAGTCAACACAATGTAGCACTCTGGCCACAGTGGTATCTGTTCTAGAAGCTACTTATTTCATCTCCATATTCTCTTGAGATCCCCTAAATTGACAAGAGTGAATTCAAGTTTCAAAATGGCACTCAAGTTATACAGGGTAGAGGACGTCATTAAGGCAATAGTTTCACCAACTCCATGCACAGAGGTCTGATCCCACCATTCCCCTCCCATCACCCTTCAGGACTGCCTAGTCCTGCCCTCTGGTTCTCCTCAACAACACTTTCCAGCATCGAGAAGTCTTGAACAGTCTTCAGCCTCACAAGTTGGGGGCCAACCAGTTAAGGAACTTCATGGCAACTTCAAAGCCAAGGAAACAAGCCTAAGAAGGGGTTGAGAGAAAGAAAAAAGCCAACAAGAGTATGACTATTCAGATATACCACCCATAGCACCATGCTTGGCTGGCCCTGTTAAGACCAGAACCCCTCCCTAACCCCACTTCCATCCCAAATCAAGAAAGCAAGCTATACTTTCATTCCTAAAAGAAGAAGAAAACAGGTCCTACAATTGCCCACTTCTGATGGCCAGATCAGGATATAAAATCCCCTTACCCCAGAGAACCTTAAAGGCAGATCCTTCTGACAGCTTCAGGAAAATGAGCAAATAAAGGAGACTGTGGCTAAAGATGGACTAGGGGGAAAACTGAGTCTCTAATGCAATCCCAGGAACAAGCAAAAGCCAGCTCATATGTACCCTGCTCTGAGTCCAGAATGAAAATTACAACCCCTGACAGCTACTCACTGCATTGGCTGGGAAGGCTCGGATCATCACTGCATTGAACCCTTTATACAAGGATGTGATTCCTTCATCCCGGATCAGCTCTCTCAGTACATCTCTGAAACCATTAGGATATTTTCCTGGAGGTGCTGTGGGGTAGAAACCAATTTTTAAGGCTTCAGGAAGCTTCCTGACCTTACTCTGGCAACCCTCATGGGAACAATCTAAGAGTTAAGTCTTCCTGTAAAGTCAGGGCCAGAATCAAGAGGGATGAAGAATGAAAAAGGAATAGGGGTAAACTCAGTGGGTTCTAGTCATGCTAGGGACTAGCCTAGCATGAATAGAGGGAGAGGGATGGGGGAGGGGCAAGGGGAGGAAAGGAGAGGAGAGAAGGGGAGAAGAGGAATGGAGAAAGCAAGAGGAAAATTTTTAAAAGTAAAGAGAAAAGCAAGCTTTCTGGTTATGCAGGGGAGGAAGAATGGATTTGACTTCTTTATTTTTTCCAGTACTGGGCACCCAAGGGGGCTCTACCACTGAGCCACATCCCCAGCGCCACCCCCACCTTTTAAATTTTGAGACAGTGTCTCACTAAATTACCCAAGCTGTCCTAGATCTTGCAGTCTTTCCTTAACCTCCCAAGTGTAGCTGCCACACCAGGCTTGGATTTGACTTATATCATTTATTTGCTTAGGCTGACAAGAAAATGAATCTAAGGTTCTTGGGACATGAATGACTGTGAGGTAGAAAGTTAGTCAGACAGATGCTGGGTGCTTACATGGAAAGAAAAAGTATCCCAGGGTCTTAAGAGTTTTGCACACCAGGGATAGCCAGTGCTAACTATCCACAACCACCACACTCACCAGTCTGGAAGCGGGACTTGAGCACATCTGGGGGGATTGCTACAGCCCAGTTGAAGATCCCTGCAATGCCCCCAGCCACCAGGATCCGAGGTGCACTGAGTTCACTGACACTGTAGAACAACCACCACAACCCCAGTCAGACAAAGACTGTGAAAGTGTGGTGTTCAGACCATCCCCCCTGTTGCAGACAAGGAAGTTACTGAGAGAGAGAAACTGGCTGAAGAGGAGATCCAAGGGCAAGACTCTCCATCCACTTCTTGGAGGCAGCCTATTTCAAATATTTGTTCCACTTGGTGAGTCACAAAGTAAGAGGTATTAGCTGGACCTCAGCAGACATGAAAGGAAAGGGTACATGTAGGAAGAACAAAATGTCACCTCTGCTCCTTCAGACTACCCACAGGAGAGGACAACCCATCCATGAATGGAAAAAGTAGCCAACCCATCCATGAATGGAGAAAGTGGCTTCTAATATTTAATGTTCTCACCTCTTTCCCTCTGGAGTCAAAATGTTTTTCAGCCATTCATATGTCATGAAATACATTCCACTGGCTGGAACATCTGTTAATAGCAAAAAAGAGGTGAATTAGTCTATAAAACCTCCATAAACTACTTGTACTTAGAAGAGGCAAGCTTGATTTTGGAACATTCAAGATTTCCTGAGAGRGCTGGGGATGTGGCTCAAGCGGTAGCTCGCTCGCCTGGCATGCGTGCGGCCCGGGTTCGATCCTCAGCACCACATACCAACAAAGATGTTGTGTCCGCCGAGAATTAAAAAAAATTAAAAAAAAAAAAAAAAAAAAGATTTCCTGAGAAGTTCCTCAGCAGCCACATCATATTTGTTAATCACTTTGCAGTTATCAGATGTTGCTCTGGCCCAAGCACTGCTATAAGTGAGTATAAATATACATTTCATCTTTAAAATCCCCTCCAGGGCTGCAGTTGKGGCTCAATGGTAGTGTGCTTGCCTAGCATATGTGAGCTGTAATCACCACTGATATGTTAAGAAGTTGTATTAAGAAGTTGTAATTGTAACCACAGGTAATAAATCTGGCTTTCCTTTAAGCTGCCATCTCAGGATAAGAGTAGGATTATCGCTGTTTTTTCTAATTCCACCCCAGCAGAACCTGCCTCTCAAWATCAATCTGGTGATTTGGAGACGGCTGGTGGGTATAGCCATGCACGAGGCCCTGGGTTCTATCACCAGCACTGAAAACAAACACACACCCCAGGAAATCACCAAGTCACTCATCCCTTCAGCCAGGATTTTCATCTACTAGCCCATCCTTTTCAACCACCACTGTCATGATTTACACTCCTGATGACACACAAGAAGAATAGAAGGTCCTTCCATCCTTCTATGTCCATATAAGCTAGGGTGAGATTGCCTAAAACCAAGTCAAACACTTATGGTCTTGGCAGAGTTGTGGCATATGCCAACACTAATATGGAAATCCTCTCAGGACCTTTTGTGGTATACCTTCCTCTGGTGACCTCCCCAGGTGACTTCAGATGAGGCCCTCAAAGGTTACCTCGCATGAGGGTAAGCACAGTCCCTTTGTAGATGCCTCGGATCCCAAACTCCTGGTATATCTTCTTTGCACAGTCCAAGGTACCAGTATATTTTGTTTCCCCTGAAGAAGCCTGAATCTGAGAGGGAGAGAAGGTCATCAGGTCAGAAACAGCAACATCAAAGTCAAACAGATCTAGCTGAGCATGATGGTGCATGCCTATAATCCCAGCTACTCAGGAGGCTGAGGCAGTAGGATAGTAGGTTAGCAAGACCATGTCTCAAAAACAATAAATATAAAGGGCTGAGCTCAGCATGGTAGCACAAACATGGAATCCCAACAAATCAGGAGGCACGAGGATCGCAAGTTCAGGCCAGACTCAGCAATTTAGCAAGGGCCTCAGCAACTTCAAGAGATCCTAAGACAGAGTTGGGTAGAACATTTGCTTAGCATGAATGAAGCCTTAAGTTTGATTCCCAGCACCACAAAAAGATAAAAAACATAAGCATGGCCTGGCATGGTGGTGCATGCCTGTAATCCCAGCAGCTCATGAGGCTGAGGCAGGAGGATTGTGAGTTCAAAGCCAGCCTCAGCAATTTAGTGAAGCTTTAAGCAACTTAGCGAGACCCTGTCTCTAAATAAAATATAAAAAGGGCTGGGGATGTGGCTCAGTGAGCATCTCTGGGTTCAATCCCTGGTACAAAAAACAAAAACATAAACATGTTTATGTTTTTATTACTAATGAGAATGACACAGTGGGGAGTGAAAAACTGATATTGAAGGAGAAAGAAAGAGGAAATATGAAAGCAATGCCTGTGGCTGGACAAGAAGGGATAAGATCCAATACACAGACAGCCAGGGGTCTAATAAAAGCACAGGTCATCCTTGGTAAAAACAATCAGGTCATGTATGGATGTACCATCACATAGACAGGTGGTGGTGACTGATAGAAGGCATCTGATGAAGTCCTCTCCTGATGGTTTCAGATTTCTCAGTTAAGCAGGAGCCAGGTGTTATGGTTTAGATATGAGGTGTCCCCAAAAGCTCATGTGTTAAACAATGCAAGAATTTTTCAGAGGTGAAATGACTGGTTCTGAGAACCTTAACCTAATCATTGAATTAACCCACTGATAGGGATTAATTGGGTAGTAACTACAGGCAGGGAAGGTGTGACTGAAGGAGGTAGAGGTAGGTCACTGGAAGTGTGCCTTCAAGGTTTATATTTTGTCCCTGGTGAATGCAGCTCTCTCTACTTCCTGGTGCCTTTGCCTGAACTGCTTTCCTCTGCCACACCCTTCTACCATGTTGTGCCTCGCCTTGGGCCCAGAGCAACAGATTCAGCCATCTATGGACTGAGACCACTGAAACCATGAGTCCCCAATAAACTTTTCCTCCTCTATATTATTCTTATCAGGTCTTTTGATCACAGAAGCAAAAAATCCCAATTAAAATACCAGGTCATACACTAGAGGGTAGGGGTTTAAAAAGAGGGAAGAGACAAAGTAGTAGCTCAGCAGAGTAGGGAAGTACAAGAGAAGAGTACAGATAGATCAATGTCTGATCTAGAAGTAGAAAAGGACTTTAGGCATAAATGAAATGAAAAAAGTCATAAGAGAGGGCTGGGTTTGTGGCTCAGTGGTAGAGTGTTCACCTAGCACATGCAAGGCTCTGGGTTTGATCCTCAGCACCACATAAAAATAAACAAATAAAATAAAGGTATTGGGGCTGGAGATGTGGCTCAGCGGTAGCGCGCTCGCCTGGCATGCGTGCGGCCCGGGTTCGATCCTCAGCACCACATACCAACAAAGATGTTGTGTCCGCCGAGAACTAAAAAATAAATATTAAAATTTCTCTCTCTCTGTCTCTCCTCTCTCACTCTCTCTTTAAAAAAAAAAAAAWAAATAAATAAAATAAAATAAAGGTATTGTGTCCAATTACAATTAAAAAAAGTCATAAGAGAAAATATTGATGTTCAAAGCTACTGAACAAAAATATTCCTTAGAACAAAATCAATATCCAGATTTTCGCTTCTGAAACGATGCCAAATCTAACAAGAAAACTATGGATACTGATTTTTAAACAAACATAAAAGACTCTGAAAGTTTGGAGAAGAGATATCAGACCAGCTACAAGGGACATTAAGACTTCAGGAATAAAGTGGTGAATTTCCAGAGTTTTCTTTTTGTCTCTTCTAACTCAAGACTTGAAGCTGAAAGGACTGGGAACCCAGAAACTGGCACGAACCAAAAAGAAGATACAACAAAGCTGCAAAGACCTTCTCCATGAAGGGCCAAAAAAAGGAACAGTCTAGAGAGAAAATTTTTAGACATTAAGCTCTCTACTCCAGCCAAACACCATAGAAAAACCTTGGCCTCCCCTGCATAATCAGCAAAAAAACAAGTGGGAAGCCTAGACTTCCACTCTTATGAGGTTGTAAGGAAGCATGCAAGCATGCAACATGCTACTGGGTAGAGTCAGCAAAGACCAAGTAGGGAACTAGGACTTTCATCCCTGATAGCCGGTAACCATCACTCTCCCACCCCATAGTATCAGTAGAGACTTTGGAACTCCCACACCCAGTAGTAAAAAAATGCCCTAGATGTCAACAGAACCCAAGGCAAATGGGAAGCCTAGGCTTCTGCCTCCACCTAAAAATAACAAGGCTTCATCCTTCCCATCTCTGCTAGGGTACTGACAGAGAAAGTCAGCTAAAACAGAAAGTTCCTAGAATTTCTACATAATACATAAATATCCATCTATCAATAGAAAAATTACTTGGAAGACTGAGGCAGGAGGATCACTAGTCTGAGGCCAGCCTGGGCAACTTAGTAGCACTATTTCAAAATAAAAAATAAAAAGGACTGGGTATGTAGCTCTGTGCTAGAACACCCCTGGGTTCAATCACCAGTACTACAAACAAAAATAAAGAAAAGAAAAATCACTTGTCACACTCAAAACCAGAAAATCTTACACTGAACCAAAAAAGAAAAGCAATAGATGCCAACTAAGATATCAAAGCTATTAGAATTGTCTGACAACAATTTTAAAGCAGCCATGATCAAAAGAACCTTTAAAAAGCAATTATGAACATGTTTGAAATGATGAAAAATAGAAAGCCACAACAAAGAAATAGATATGTTTCAGAAGAGGAATAGAAGATTTAAGAAAGAACCAAATGGAACTTTTAAAGCTGAAAAATACAGTGCAATAAAAATTTTGTGAATAGCTCACTCAATGGCAGAGTAGAAAAAAAAAGAGAGCAGAGGAAATTGGTGAATTAGAAGAGAGAACAATGGAAATTAGTCATTCTAAACAACAGAAAAGAAAACAGAATGAAATAAACTGAACAGAACTTCAAGGAACTCTGAAGTTATAATATAAAACTTAACATTTCTATCTTCAGAGTTTCAGAAGAAGAGAAAACAGGATGGGACTAAAAAAAGGGTAGTGTCCTGTTCCTCACGACTAAAACACTCAAGTCACTCCAGAGGAACTGGGCTGCACAAAATAACCACATAAGAGACAGAGATATGTTTTTCTTTGGGGTCCTGTGATAGCTCCTCTAACCTTAAGGGTCTGCAAAAAGAGAGAGTGCAGGCGAATGCTGAACCCTTTTATTGAGGAGAAGCTATTCAAATGAAGCAAGGGGTCAGGTTTCAGGGGGTTGAGTCTAGCTTCCTGATGCCTGCTGTCAGCAGGTTGACTGACATCTAGGAAGGCCACACCCAAAGGCAGAGCAATAGAAGAGGACACACAAAGTGCTTCCATTGAACCTTCTATCCCAAACAGGGCAAAGGGGGAGTATCACAAAGGAAGAGGTGAGCATAGCTAAATCCATGGGGCGACATGCCAATGTCTGAAGACGTGTTCTCAAACTTCTGGGAACGGGGCAGTGTCCAGGTCACTATGAGATGTAGTGACGGCCGGGACAGAGAATGTGAATCATTCAAACTGGCCTCTCACAGGATAGAACTGAAATAACTGCTAAAAACTTCCCAAATTTGTCAAAACATAAACTTATTAAGAAGTTCAGTGAATACCAAACAAATAAAACTAAAGAAATCTATGTCAAGAAACATCACAACTTTGGGGACTGAGGATGTGGCTCAAGCAGTGGCGCGCTCGCCTGGCTCGCCTGGCATGTGTGCGGCCTGGGTTGGATCCTCAGCACCACATACAAACAAAGATGCTGTGTCCGCCGAAAACTAAAAAATAAATATTACAAAATTCTCTCTCTCTCTCTCTGTCTCTCTTTAAAAAAAAAAAAAAAAGATTAAAAAAAAAAGTAGCTGGGGTGCAGTGGATAAAAATCACCTTTCCTATAGGAAAACAGCAATTTGAATGACAGAAGAAAGGGAGATAAGAAGGAAGTGGCCAAGTGATAGCAGAGGCCTAGAATCTCCACGACTTGGGAGGCTGAGGCAAGAGGATGCAAGAGGATTGTAAAGTCAAGGCCACCCTCAGCAACTTAGTGATACCCTTTCTAAAAATAAAAAAAGAAAGGAATGGGATATAGCTCAGTTGTAAAGCATCCCTGAGTTCACTCCCCAATATTGGATTAAAAAAATAGTCAGTACACATAGCAATCCAAAATGCATGTAAACAACAACAACAAAAAGCAATTTAGCGGGACTGTCTCAAGAAAATGGCACAGTATTATTCAAGTGTTAAAAAAAAAGGATTGTTGGACTGGGGATGTGGCTCAAGCGGTAGCATCCTTGCCTGGCATGTGCAGGGCGCTGGGTTTGATCCTCAGCACCACATAAAAAACTAAAATAAAGATGGTGTTTCCACTGAAAACTAAATATTAAAAAATTCTCTCTTTCTCTCTCTCTCTTAAAAAAAAAAAAAAAGAATTGTCGGGGGCTGAGGTTGTGGCTCAGAAGTAGAGCGCTTGCCTACAATGCATGAGGCACTGGGTTCGATCCTCAGCACCCCATAAAAATAAAAAATAAAATAAATAAATAAAGGTATTATATCCACTCATAACTAAAAAATAAATTTTTTAAAAAAGAATTGTCAACCCAGAATCCTATATCCAGTGAAATATCCTTCACAAATAAGTAGAAAATCAATCATTCTCAGATGAAAGAAAACTAAGAACATTTGAAATAATGGCAAAAGAACGGCTAGGGTTGTGGCTCAGCTGTAGATCACTTGCCTGGCACATGCAAGGCCCTGGGTTTGATCCTCAGCACCATATAAAAAATAAAATAAAATAAAGATATTGTGTCCATCTACAACTAAAAAATAAAATATTTTTTTAAAAAAGAAAGAAGGAATGGCAAAAGGAAATTCTCTGAACAAAAGTAAACAATTAAAGAAGTAAACTTATAACAGCAGGAAGTAAATAATGTGGTAATCAAAATATGAGGCATTATATAATGATAAAAGAGGGAGATTATATAATGGTAAAAAGATTAGTCCACTAAGAAGACATAGCAATCCAAAATGCATGTAAACAACAACAATAACAACAACAAAAGCAATTTAGCAAGACCCTGTCTCAAGACATTTTATTTTTTAATAAAAAGGGCTGGGAAGGGGCTAAGGTTGTGGCTCAGTGGTATAAAGCGCTCACCTAGCACATATGAGGCACTGGGTTCGATCCTTAGCACCACATAAAAATAAATAAATAAAATAAAGGTATTATGTCTATCTACAACTAAAAAAAAAGAAAGAAAAAGAACCTAAAGATAAAACTACTATGCAACCAAGTGATTGTACTCCAAAGCATTTATCTCAAAGGAATAGTTATTTTCTCACAAAATATCTATATATAAATGTTATACCAATTTTTTCAAAATGGCCCCAAACTAGAAATAACACAGATGTCCTTCTATGGAAAAATAGCTAAAGTGTGATCCATCTATCCTGTAACTATGACTAAGCAATAAAAATGAATGAACTATTCACAGACGCAGCAATCTGAACAAATATCCAGAAAATTATACTGAGTTGAAAATGTGGTTCTGAAAAGTACATACTTATCATTCCATTTAAACATTCTTGAAATTACAAAATTATAGAATTTACACACTAAAGGTACTGGGCTTCTGGGAAGTTTACAGAGACACACAACATCTCAAGCAGGAGCAGCTTCCCTTCTACTTCTGATGAAGCATGACTCACCTTTTAGAGTTCCTAAAATGGCTGCTAATAAAAGTGGGTAGCTCTGGGGTGGTGATGTGTCATGAGTATGACTTTTTTTTTTTTTTTTTTAGTTGTAGATGGACACAATACTTTTATTTATTTATTTTTATGTGGTGCTGAGGGTCGAACCCAGTGCCTCACACATGTGAGGCAAGCTCTCTGTTACTGAGCCACAATCCCAGCCCCGGTATGACATTTTCCTAATTTCATGTAGTGTCTTGGTTCCAATTCTATTAAAATTGCTTTCATTTTCCTGTAAACACTGAAATTTGTTTTGTTTTGTTTTTGGTACCAGGAATTGAATTCAGGGGCACTCAACCACAGACCACATCCCCAGCCCTATTTTGTATTTTATTAAGAGACAGGGTCTCACTAAGTTGCTTAGTGTCTTGCTGTTTCTGGGGCTGGCTTTGAACTCACAATCCTCCTGCCTCGGCCTCCCTGGGGCTGGGATAACAGGCATGCGCCACTGTACCCGGCTCTAAAATTGTCTTACACACCTACCTAAAGCCTTTTCAAAGGGTAAAAGGATATAAACACGCACACAAAATTGTACACTAATGGAGAAAGCTAGCTGCCTCCCCACATATCACACCTTTACCTGTAATAAGCACTTGATCCGTTCTCCAGGGGTCATAATTCCTGTAGTGAACACACCAGATAACATCCCAGCTGCAAATAATTGAGGGTAGCTGCATTGAAAACAAAAACCAGAAATGAGCACCTGTGATTAACCACCAAAGACAAAGCAATCCCAGCAAAGTGGATGTTTTGTAAGAAAAAGATAAGAACTTATACTGGAAAGAAGCACAGCCACAAATAAATCAGATTTCACATAAAATCTAAGTTCTACCAGGCCCAGTGGCATATGCCTGTAATCCCAGTGACTCAGGAGGCTGAGACAGGAAGGCCCCAAGTTCAAAGTCAGCTTCCACAACTTAGCAAGACCCTGTTTCAAAATAAAAAATAAAAAGGACTGGAGATGTGACTCAGTGGTTAAGTGCCCCTGGGTTCAATCCCCAGGACCAAAAACAGAGCAATTTCCAAAGAATATTCTGTTATCAAAAAGATCAGATCAAGGATCTCAGTAGCAAGAACAACGGGAGCCTGGTCACGAGGCCCACTCACACGAAGTGTACAGTCAGAATCCCTCATTTATGGAAAAAGCTTTATACTATGACATGGTTTCCACCTCTGGAACTACCATAGTGACTATGGACAAGTTCCCAGGCCTCTCAGAGCCTGGATTCCCCATCTATAAAATGCTGGGCTATTGGCAGGAAAAGGCTTTAACCCAAAATCTGGACCTCAGGAGACCCCTGTTCTCCTCCAATCTTATTTCCCCTAGACCTCCAAGGGCCTGAGAATGCTCTAAGCCAAGACTCAAGCAGGACCACTTCAAAGCCAAGAAAAATGAGTGTCTGTGGCCACCTCTACAGGCTGAGCGATGGGCAGGCCAGTTACAACGAATGTATGGTAAGAGCCCAATTAAGACTAAGTTAGGGGGCTGGGGATGTGGCTCAAGTGGTAGCACGCTCGCCTGGCATGCGTGTGGCCCGGGTTCAATCCTCAGCACCACATACCAACAAAGATGTTGTGTCCGCCAATAACTAAAAAGAAATGAATATTAAAAAAATTCTCTCTCTCTCTCTCACTCTCTCTCCTCTTAAAAAAAAAAAAAAAAGACTAAGTTAGGGATGGTACTAAATTAGGATAATGGCTCCTGTAGCCCCTGTGTGAGGAACGGTTCCCTGGGGGCCAGAGGTATGGGTTCTCACTCTGGCTCCCACAAAATCACCACATTGAGTATGAGGAGGACCTGAAGCTCCAACTGTCTATCACCATAGTTGTCTATGCCACTTCTAGCACCTTCTTTTCTCTTTGGGAATAGCAATACCACTGTGGTCTAGAGACAAAGGGGCACAAAACCACATTCAGCATTTTAATAGTCTCCACAACTTAACAAATGTTGCTGAAAAACTTCACATAGGCCTGAGCCCCAAGATCCTGCTGAGCCCAAGTGTCTCATAACTGAGCCTTCAGGCCAGTCCCACCCAAAGACACCCAAGGCCGGGGCTGGGGATGTGGCTCAAGCGGTAGCGCGCTCGCCTGGCATGCGTGCGGCCCGGGTTCGATCCTCAGCACCACATACAAACAAAGATGTTGTGTCCGCCGATAACTTAAATATTAAAAAATTCTCTCTCTCTCTAAAAAAAAAAAAAAAAAAAAAAAACCCAAGGCCTAGGGAACAAATGCCAAATGGCAGTTGGGAGAGACCTACAATAGATTCTTCCCTTTACGTACAGGTCCAGCTTAGCTTCCACAGCCCTGTTTTTCCAAGTACTCATTCCAGGCAGGACTCACATGTCTACCTCAGACATACTAGGCAAGCATATAGGCTGACTATTGAACAGACAAGAGACTTGCTTTCATTCATAGCCAGTTCCAAAGTTGTACTTTTTGCCAGGCACAGTGGCATATTCCTGAAATCCCAATGACTTGGTAGGCTGAGGCAGGAGAATAATAAGCTCAAAGCCAGCCTTCGCAACTTAGCGAGGCCCTAAACAACTTAGCGAAACCCTATCTCAAAATAAAAAAATAAAAAGGACTGGGGGCTTTGCTCAGTGGTTAAATGCCCCTGGGTTCAATCCATGAAACTAAACAAAACAAAAAATTCCGGTTTACACTATTGTCCTTAGAGGAGTCCTCTCAGGGACTAAATTTCCTCTTTAAGACCAACGTGCTCTCTTCTTTTCAGAATGTCCAACCCTAGGCTGGACACACCTTATATCCTGGGACAGAGGACTTGACTTTGCTCTGGATGGGATCTCTGTATGTGCACAGGGCACCTTGTGGACACTATGATCACCTGGCCTATTCGGCCATTCACTTCCTACTCCCATCCCAGGGAGGGAACTATGAATACTGGGCCTTTCTGAGCTTCTACCCCAAGGCTCTGGTAACACTCCTTTCTGCATCATCCCCAAACACCACTGGAAAAAAGGTGAATACAGCAGGGCTGACAGGATTATGCAGGTGATGTCTTGAGTGTCTTCGGCTTTGTTCAGGCACAGGTTATTTCTCTGACAGCTGATGTGACTGTACAGGAACACAGCCCATAGGCATGGTCCTGGTACAGCTTGTGAATAGGTACATATGCTAGAAGACCAGGTGTTCAGATTGAACATGTGTCCATGAAACACTTGGACTACCAATAGTCAAACAGCTTCAAAATAACCCCTCACATTTGGTAGCCATTGTGGTTATTTATAGAAGCATGGCACATTCCGAGGGTCACATGAACACCAGAAATAGTTTCCTGTTACAAGAACCACTATCTAGGTCTGGGGATGTGGCTCAAGCAGTAGCGCACTCGCCTGGCATGCGTGCGGCCCAGGTTCGATTCTCAGCACCACATACAAACAAAGATGTTGTGTCCACCAAAAACTAAAAAATAAATATTAAAAAAAAAAAGAACCAATATCTATATACTAGACAGTCACTCAGCCCACCATGACCTGAAATGGTGACAGAATCAACCACATGGCACATAGGGATTCCTCCCTTGAGCTCATAGATGCCAAGCCTATCCAGCCTCAGCAGTTCCTGTGCTGGCTGCAGTCCTCCCAGAGGTTGTCACCCGAATGCCTCATATTACGTGGACATTATCAACCCAAGTTTCCACTCAGAATTCCCTTGCATCTTGAGACACCCATCTGTTTTCATTAAAAGATTTTAAAAATTTTGAGCTATTATTCTGATTCTGCTACCTCTTTATGACTCAATTCAACTTCATAAAGTTTGTTTTTGTTTTTTTGTAGTACTGGGTATTAAACCTAGGGCCTCATACATGCTGGACAAGCATCTATCACTGAATAACATCCCCAGCCTTTTTCAATTTTATTTAACAAGCCAAGGCCTTACTAAGTTGCTCCAGTAAACCTTGAGCTTATGATGCTATTGCCTCAGTCTCTGATTCTTTGGGATTACAGGCATATAGTACCACTCTGGTTAAGTGGATTTTCTTTGAATAAACTTTACACTAGGCCTGCTGGGCATACCTATAAACCCAGCAATTCAGGAGGCTGAAGGACGAAGATTATAATTTTGAGGCCAGCCTAAGCAACTTAGCAAGATTCTATTGCAAAATAAGAAAATAAAAATGGCTAAGGATATTGCTCAGTGGTAGAGAATCCCAGGGTTCAATTCCTAGTACTATTAAAAAATACACTAACTTATTTCACTTTCATAAGAAATTATTTATAATCATAATCATATTATAATTGCATTATAAAAATGAAATAAAACAAAAGTTCCTCAACCAAGTGACAGAAAGCAAAGCTTGTTGCTGTAGTTACAACCATACCAGGTGCTTCTCACAGCATTTTACACATATTTTAGTATTCAGACCTCCCAACTGCATGTACAGTTGGTTTTACTAAGATCCCCAGTAATCCATATTACCTCATATAAGACATGAAAATCTGGCAGGGAAGGGATTTTTTTCTTCCTTTTCCCTTTAGGAACTCTTAGGAGTCAGTCCTGAGAGACCATGAGACAGCCACTGCCTATTTGTCAAGAAACTTTCCTTTTAACTCATGTCAAACCACCAAGCAGAATAGCATCAAGTGTACTAGGCCTGTGAGTACTCACCTGAGTACATCCTCTGGTGACTTCTGTTGTAGTTTCTTCCCCAAACCAAACCCAAAGAAGCATACAGCAAACATAGGGGTGACCCCGATGATAGGGGCAGCCATGCCCCGGTATAGCCCCGTGATGCCCTGTAAGGAATCACAGAAACAGAAATTGTTTACAGATACCTCTACTTTTTATATCACTAAAACAGGAAAGCTATGACCTCTAACCTGTGGCTTCCTATCTTCTATAAACAAGAACTTTAAAAGGAAGAAAATACACACATGTATCAGAAATAATTGTCTTCTTTACACTGCAGAAGCCAGAAATAGTTTCCATTCTAGAAGGCAATCTGGCAATTAGTAACATAGCATACCCTTTTACCCAGAAATTCTCCCTCTAGAATTTGCTTTAAAGAAGTACTACAGACACATGCCTGTAATCCCAGTGACTCTCAGAAGGCTGAGGCAGAATGATTAAAAGTTCAGGCCAGTCTTGGCAACTTAGCAAGACCCTATGTCAAAATTGAAAATAAAATGGCTGGGGATGTGTCTCAATGGTACAGTATCTCTGAGTTCAATCCCCAAAACTGCAAAACAAGAAACAAAGAAAAAAACTCAGATGTGAAAAGAATGACATCAACTGGGTGCGGTGGCCCATGCCTGTAATCCCAGTGGCTCAGGAGGCAGAGGCAGGAGGATTGTGAGTTCAAAGCCAGCTTCAGCAACAGTGAGGCACTAAGCAACTCAGTGAGACCCTGTCTCTAAATAATACACAAAAAAGGGCTTGGAATATGGCTCAGTGGTTGATGGCCCCTGAGTTCAATCCCAAAAAAAAAAAAAAAAAAGGAAAGAAAGAAAGAAAGAAATTTTTGGAAAAAACTTAACAGCTGAAATAAGAATAAGAATACCATAAATGAACTATCATGCAGCCATAAAATCACATTGTGATATGAAAGGGATTATTAAGGGGGGGGTGAGCTACAAAATAGGAAGTTCAATGTTATCTGATTTCCTTGGGGATGATATTACAAGTGATTAAGAAATCAGTCAGTTACTTATCAAAACTGACTCAAAATTAAAAATGAATGAAAAGGCCTGATGATATAGCTTAGTGGCAAAGTACCCCTGGGTTCATTCCCTGATGGCAAAATAAAAATAAAAAAGAAAGAAATTTTTGTATTTTCCAAGGTAGTTTTGATGTTTGGTGGTACTGGGGATTGAACCTACCACCTCATACATACAAAACACACATTCCAATAATGAGCTACACTTCAGTTCTCTGTATTTTCTGAGTATTAAGATGTGATTTTTGTCCAGACTGCACATCAATTTTCATGAGTACAGTGTGGTAATGAAAGTAACTATGTAATAGGCAAATAATTAGACAGGGGCTGAGGTTGTGGCTCAGCAGTAGAGTGCTCATCTAGCATGTGCAAGGCGCTGGGTTCGATCCTCAGCACCACATAAAAATAAATAAAATAAAGGCATTGTGACCAACTACACTAAAAAAATATTTTAAAATAAATAAATGATTAGACAGCCGGGCATGGTGGCATACACCTATAATCCCAGCCTCTCAGGAGGCTGAAACAGGAGGATCAAGAGTTCAAAGCCATGGGCTGGGGATGTGGCTCAACTGGTAGCGCGCTCGCCTGGCATGCGTGCGGCCCGGGTTCAATCCCCAGCACCACATACCAACAAGGATGTTGTGTCCGCCGAGAACTAAAAAATAAATATTAAAAATAAAATTCTCTTCTCTCTAAAAAAAAAAAAAAAAAAGAGTTCAAAGCCAGGGCTGGGGATGTGGCTCAAGCGGTAGCGCGCTCGCCTGGCATGCGTGCGGCCCAGGTTCGATCCTGAGCACCACATACCAACAAAGATGTTGTGTCCGCCGAGAACTAAAAAATAAATATTAAAAAATTCTCTCCTCTCTCTCTCTCTCTCCCCTCTCTCACTCTCTCTTAAAAAAAAAAAAAGAGTACAAAGCCAGGACTAGGAACATGGCTCAGTGGTAGAACACTTGCCTGGCATGTGTGAGGCACAGGGTTCGACTCTCAGCACCACATATAAATAAATAAAGATTCATTCACAACTAAAAAATATATATATTAAAAAAAAATTTGAAAGCCAGCCTCAGCAAAAGCAAGGCACTAAGCAACTTAGTGAGACCCTAAATAAAATACAAAATAGGGCTGGGGATGTGGTTCAGTGGTTGAGTACAAAAGAAAAAGGGAAAAAAATCATCATTAATTAATTAGGCAGACAATTTGCTATCACAACCTAACAAGATAATAAACCCAGGAAGAAGAACACCTGGGATTTGGGAGACTAAGGATCCAGTCCAAGGGAGATGAAGTAGATTTATAGAATGTCACTAGGTATGGTAGACCTGAGAAGCAGCCAGTTCACACAGGAGTAGAAGAATGGAAGACTCCAGGATGAAGCATTTAGGATACAGAATGACAAAAGAGAAGCAATTCAAAGAAATGATTAATATTTGAGGGGAAATAGATACTCACTGTGATTTGAACATTATGCAATGTATACATGTATCAAAACTTCACATGGGGACTGGGATGTGGATCAGCGGCAAAGCACTTACCATGCATATGTAAAGCCCTGGGTTTGATTCCCAGTTCCAAAAAAGAAAAGACAAAAAAGAACCCCACCAAAAAAAAAAAAAAAAAAAGAAAAAAAAAATTCACGTGGTACCCCATAAATAGATACAATTTTGCTGTGTCAATTAAAAAATTAAAAAGAACAAGAAGCAAAGGAAATTGACACAAGAATTACTAATCCAATCCCATGGGAAACAAAAAGTTATACAAGGGATGTCTTCATCCATACCATAGAACATTACTTGATTAAAAGAAAAAAAAATATAAAACTATAATCATGAAGGGCTGGGGCTGTAGCTCAGTGGCAAAGTGCTTGCCTAGCACATGTGAGACACTGGGTTCGATCCTTAGCACTACATAAAAATAAATAAAATAAACACATGCTCTCCATCTAAAACTACAAAAAAATTTAAAAAAAAAATAAAACTATAATAATGAAAATAGTGATTTGTGAATCAGTGATAGAAAATACTAATCATCTTAGTATTCCTGAAGCACTGGGTTCAATCCCCAGCAACAAGAACAAAAAAGCAGATTGAAATAAAAGACAAAATGTGATAAAATTATATGGATGGGCAAGGGGGCAGAAAGAAGGGATAGAAAGTATAAGAATTAAAATAATCTAACTCTGGGGCTGGGATTGTGGCTCAGTGGTAGAGTGCTAGCCTAGCATGCATGGGGCCCTGGGTTCGAACCTCAGCACCACATAAATGTAAAATAAAAATATTGTGGGGCTGGGGATGTGGCTCAAGCGGTAGCGCGCTCGCCTGGCATGCGTGCAGCCCGGGTTCGATCCTCAGCACCACATACCAACAAAGATGTTGTGTCCGCCGAGAACTAAAAAATAAATATTAAATAATTCTCTCTCTCTCTCTCTCTCTCTACCCTCTCCCTCTCTCTCAAAAAAAAATGTTGTGTCCGCCGAGAACTAAAAAATAAATATTAAATAATTCTCTCTCTCTCTCTCTCTCTCTCCTCTCTCACTCTCTCTTAAAAAAAAATATTGTGTCCACCTAAAACTGAAAAATAAATTTTAAAAAATAATAATATAATCTAACACTAATAGGTAGTTAAAATACATTAAAAATGTATAAAAAAGCAGGACATGGTGGCACACACCTATAAGCTCAGCAACTCAGGAGGCTAAAGCAGGAGACTTCAAAGTTCAAGGCCAGCCAGGCATGGTGGCACATGGCTGTAATCCCAGCAACTGGGGAACTGAGGTAGGAGGATTGTATATTTGAAGCCAGGCTCAGCAATTTAACAAGGCCCCTCAACAACTTAGTGAGACCCTGTCTTAAAATACAAAATAAAAAGGGTCAGGGGTATGGCTGAATGGTTAAGCACATCTATGTTCAATCTCCCCCCAAACAAACAAACAAACAAACAAACATAAACCCAGAAAGAAAAAAAGAAAAAGAAAATTTCAAGCCAGCTTAACAAGGCTTGCTTAGCAAGGTCCTAAACAACTTAGCAAGACCCTGTCTTAAAATAAAAAATAAAAGGGCTGGCAATGTGGCTCTGTGATTAAGCACCCCTGGGTTCAATCCCCAGTTTAAAAAATTTATATATAGATAAATATAGATATAGATAGATATGTAAAGGTAAATAAAATACAGTAGTAAATGTATATTATAAATAGGTAAAAACAACATAAATAACTGAAAGAGCTAAAAGTAGCTACCTCTGGAGAATGAGAAGAGATAAAGACCACTCTGTTACTTAGTTATAAGCCTTTCAATAAGGAACTAAGGACCTTTATCACTTCAATAAAAAATAAGAATTCTGGGCTGGGGTTGTGGCTCTGTGGTATATAATCAAATAATTCCAAACCAATCAAATGTCTCTGTCTAGGGTTATGGAAACTCTGTTGACCTCTGTGTTTCAAAGATGGGCTGACTTTTCCTCTGTACTTCACATGCACTTCTGATATGAAGCCTTGTCAAACTGATTGACTCAAATGTGATTTCCATCCATTTCATATCTTCAATTATTCCTAGTTCTCAATGGTGCCTTACAAAACAGAAACATTTTATTGACTTCACTCATCTGTATAGAACGTAGCTGAAATCATCAATGACTACAGAACAGATAATAATAGAATACTTATGTCCTAGCATGTGGAACAGACCTCCAGCACAATCAAAGCTGTCCTATCACCTGGGGAGGGGTTAACAAAACAATTCCTTGAATGTGTTCCTATGAGTAAGAGGAATGGGCAGCACTAGATATCATACCTCTCTAATAAGAGTCTTCCGGAAGCAGTCAATGGTCCCAGAGTACATTGGTGGCTGCCCAGGCAAACTTGGTGGCTGTGTCTGCAGTCGGACCTGAAACCAGAAGTTAAAATAAATTACCCTCCAGAATCATATCTATCTGTCCGTGGCAATGGCCCCACTGTCTATCAAACTGAACAGGGAAATTTGCACCTCTGTACATGTCTTTAGCATTCCCTTAACCTATAAATTAGGACTTCTCTTTTATTTCATTAGTATTTCATTCCTTTTTTTTACAGTAAATTGTAACATTATGTAACATCATGATGTAAATTACTTATTCTCATGTTATTATACAAATACTATGTGATGCAGAAAGCACAAGTCCTGCCTGGCACTTGAGTATGATGTTTATGTATTGTAGTGAAATACCGCTAAGTACAATTTCAAAAGCAAAGAAATGTCAAAGAAAACTAGAGGGCTGGGGTAGTGGTTCATYGGTAGAGCGCTCACCTATTGTGTGAGAGGCCCTGGGTTCAATCTTCCCCACCACATAAAAATAAATAAATAAAACAAAGGTATTGTATCCAACTACAACTAAAAAATAAATATTTTTAAAAAACTAGAGAAAATCTGTAATCTTCTAATCAATGATACTCTCACAAGAACACTAAATATATTCATGGATAGATAAGCTTTATTCAAATATCTGCATAAATATGACTTGATGTCAAATGAGAAGAAGTTTTTACAAAGGGCTAAAATTTACTGAAAGTAAAATTCGGTGCTTCCCTTTGGTCTGTCTCTGAATTTAGCTGACCAACACATCATTATTAGTAATCTGCACTCACTACTCATTTTCATCACTCACAATTTCTCAGATCTTTGGGTGGCATTTCCCATTTCTCTGGAAAGCTCTTAAATTGCATTTAGTAACAGAAGGACAGGGTTTTTTTCCATTCCTTTCTACTCCAGAGGCAAAACCACATCCCTTGATTATCTTGTTTTCATTGTGGCTGTTTGCAAATGGTGTGCAACTGAGGAACTTAATATACAAAAATATGGTATAATCTTTGTGTGCTAAAACAATAACTTCATTTTAATTTTTCATTAAAGAATTATTTTTATTATTTCTCCACAAAGAAGAAACATTGTAAAAATTGTAAAAACATTGAAATAACTCTTTAAAATCTTTGATTGATGGAGCTGGGGTTGTGGCTCAGATGTAGAGTGCTTGAATAGCACATGTGAGGTCCTGGGTTTGATCCTCACACCACATAAAAATAAATAAAATAAAGGTATTGTGTCCAACTACAACTAAAAAATATTTACTAAAAAAAATCCTGGGCTGGGGATGTGGCTCAAGCGGTAGCACGATCGCCTGGCATGCGTGCAGCCCGGGTTCGATCCTCAGCACCACATACCAACAAAGATGTTGTGTCCTCTGAGAACTAAAAAATATATATATTTAAAAAAAAAAATCCTGGCTTGGGCTGGGGATGTGGCTCAAGCGGTAGCACCATTGCCTTGCATGCGTGCGGCCCGAATTCGATCCTCAGCACCACATACAAACAAAGATGTTGTATCCGCCGAAAACTAAAAAATAAATATTTAAAAAATTCTCTCTCTCTCTCTCTCTCTCTCTCTCTAAAAAAAAAAAAAAAAAAAAAATCCTGGCTTGATGACGGGTACCTTGTCAGCACACGCGTATAATTCCAGACACTTGGAAGGCTGAGGCAGGAGGATCACAAGTTCAAGGCCAACTTCAGCAATTTAGTGAGAGCCTATCTCAAAATAAAAAATAAAAAGGGCTGGGGATGTAACTCAGTGGTCAAGTGCCCCTGGGTTCAATCCCGAGTACTAAAAAAATTTTTTTAATTAGAATAAAATAAAATCTTGAGGGTTGGGACTGTGGCTCAGAGGTACTCACCTACCATGCACGAGGCACTGAGTTCTATCCCCAGCACTACATACAAATAAAATAAAGATATTGTGTCCACCTATAACTAAAAAATAAATATTTTAAAAAATAAAATAAAATCTTGAATGGATATATCTATAATTTATAACTAAGAATAAAATGCTAAATTCTATGAGATAGAATTTCTGAATTATTTTGATTGGAATTTGCTAGGAGGAATCAGAGAAATTTCATGCTGGGAGTAGAGTGTATGCTTAGCATGTACAAGGCTCTAGATTTGATCCCTAACACCAAAACCAAACAAAACAAAAAAATTATTTCTATTTCAACTCCCAATTTAATTTTTAAAAGCAACACATTGTTGAAGGCACCAATGATATTAATCTGGAAGGCAGATATTTGTACGTGAGGAGAGTTGGAACCTTTCATGCAACAAATGGAATTGCTCTTTTCCATTACATTTTCAATAAAAGTACAAATATACATATGGTAAAAAAAATGCATATAGTACAGAAAGATCTAAAATAATAAGTAAATATCCTTTTCCTATAACATAGCAGATTGATGTCTTCAAAATCCTTTAAGAGTCATATGAGTAACAAAACAACTAAGTCTTTTCAGGCCTTTGAAACTGTGTTGATTGTCTCCTATAATATCTCTGCTACAGAGGAAACAAGCAGTCTTCTCCTTCATAAAGAAAATTTAAAGGGCAACAGGCACACACTGCTCAGAGAGAGCAAAATCCAGGCAAGACCTCAGGTCTAGCTGTAGCTCCAGAGAGTCCTAGGTAACATCCAGAGCCAAAGCTGCAGGAGTTCAGCAAAGTGCTTCTTCAATGCTGTGGATCCTCCTGGCCAGCTGCACCTCCTTGGGGAAGAGGAGAGGAGGTAAGCACCCTCAAAGAGGTGGACTAAAAATGCTTCTGCCGCCTCTTTAAGGGCTAACAGGACGTGGGCTTGCCATCTGCAGTACTCACCACGTGTGAATTTCATTCATATTTCTATTGCCAGGCGGCTGTAGGGGTAGTTCCTTATTAAGAGGTCTGTGTTCTTCTGCAGCTTTTTGCTCATTAATCCAGCCAATTCTCAGCCGACTGTATTGACCCGAAGAAGAACCCAAGGAGGCTCGCTGCAGCGGGGGCTGGTGCGGGGGCGGGGCGCCTCACCGCCGGGCGTCCCAAGGTTTGGGAGTTAGAGACTGGCTGTCGACTGAGCGTCGACTGACCATTAGTCAGCGTACTTTAGCGTCGCCTTCCATTCAAATCTCCCGCCCCATTCTTTTTTATTGGCAAATAATATCCTATATCCTTTTGTATATCCATTGATCAGTTGATAACAGTTGTGTTTTTGCTACTTTTTTTTTTTTTTTTTTTTTTTTTGGAGAATGCGTGTCTCCTATGGTTGAACTCCTGGGCTCAAGGGATCACCCTGCCTCAGCTTTCTAATAGTTGGGATTATAAGTGTGTGCCAGTAATGCTGTTATAGATATTCGTGTATCTATATGGATGTTTTTATATGGATGTGTTTTCAATTCTCTTGGGTACTATATTGGTCAGTGTTATCTAGAGAAACTGAACAAATAGGAGATATATAACTCAAGAGATTTATTATAAGGAATTGGATCATGCCAGTATGGAGGCTGGGAAGTTCCAAGATCTGCCATCATCAAGCTAGAGACCAAGAAGATCCAATATTTCAGTATGAGTCTGCAGGCAGGAAAAGTCTGATGTCTCAGTTCAAGCAGGCATACAGGAGCACCTTCCTTTAACAGACTTTTCTATTCAGGCCTTCACCTGATTGGACAAGGTCCACCTACATTAGGGAGTGCAGATCTGCTTTATTCACTCTACTATTCAAATGTTAATATCCAAAAACACCCTCACTCCCAGAATAACGTCTGATCAAATATCTAGGTACAATAAGATTCAGTTTTAACCCACTAAGTTTTGGGTTAAATTGTTATAGTTCAATAAATAACTGATGCACCCAGTTACTTCTATAGTTTTTTTTCCTGCTCACTATTCCGCTTAAATCCTTCTTAAGCATACCACCATACTAACCTTTCTAAAACATCCTTTTTAACATGTTGGTCTCAAACTTGCCATCCTTTAGTCTGAGCCTACCAAATCTCTGGGATTATATCTGTGTGCCACCAAACCTGGCTATTCCTTTTCTCTTTCTTTCTTTCAAATATTTTTTTTTTAGTTTTAATAGACCTTACTTTATTTATTTATATGTGGTGCTGAGAATCAAATCCAGTGCCTCAAACATGCTAGGCAAGTGCTTTTCCACTGACCTACAACTCCAGCCCCCTTTATTTCTTTAGAATTTTTCACTGATGCATTTGTTAGGGCCTTCCAGGCCACAGTACAGAAGTCATTCCCTAGGTAATAAAGGTAACATGCAAGTCTGAGTTTATGGTATAGAACAGTAGAAATGAACAGAGGCTACCATTATTTTTTATCCAGAATCTCTTATATTGGCCTTCAGGTTCTTCATGGCCAGTCATAACTTCCAAGGTGAGCCAAGTGGATCAAAAACTGACTTGAGCCAGTGCTTGCCTAGCATGCAAAAAGTTTTGAGTTCAATTTTTTAAAAAACAGGATTTCTGATTGATACTCTTTTGTGATTTTTTTTTTGGGGGGGGTACTGGGGATTGAACTCAGTGGTACTCGAACACTATTTTATTTAGAGACAGGGTCTCAGTGAGTTGCTTGGCACCTCACTTTTGCTGAGGCTAGCTTTGAACTTGAGATACTCCTGTCTCAGCCTTCTGAGCTATTGGGATTACAAGTATGCACCACTGCGCCTGATTTTTTTTTTTTAAATAAACCTTATACCTGTCATTAGGACACCAGCCATCCCAACCAGTGAGAATTTTAAAGTCCTCAGTTGGTGTTATTTTATATTCTGACACCCTACTTCAAGCCCACATTTGCCTTCACTCTTGCCAAAAACATATCTTAGAAACTTAATCCAAATGCATATAAGCCATATAGGAGGTGTTTAGATCATGAAGGCTTCACCCTCATAAATGGATTAATGCCAACTACAGAAAGGCTCAAGGCTTGAGATCAATCTCTTGTGCTCTTGCCCTWCCACCTTCTGCCATGGGAAGACACAGTACAAAGACCCTGGCTAGATGTGGGCCCCTGGATCTTGAACCTCCTAGGTCTGAAACTATAAGAAATAAATCTCTATTCTTTATAAATTACCTAGTCTCAGAGATTCTGCTACAGTAGCATAAAATGGAGTAAGATACCTTCCCATGCCAAATTGTCTGGGTCTCCCTACTCTTTCAGTCAGAATTCAGCCAGCTCTTCAATGTCTACCCTAAGAATTTTTCCAAGTCCCATCTCTGTGGTGTTGCAGTTCTTGGCTTATTAGGATATATGGGCCACAGGTCAGTTGCCTTGAACCCTTGAAAGTACTTCAAGGTTAGGTTTTAGTTGGGCCAATTTAACTTTCCGAAGCCAAAAGGAGAACAGTCAGCAATTGGTGGATTTGATTTAATTAAAAAGAGACTTTCTGAATGTCAAAATGCCAAGGAGTATTTTCAGTCATTTACAATTCAATACAGAGGTCACTGGGCCCTTCCTGGGAGTAATATCAAGAACAAGAGGATAGGGAGATAGAAGCAATATATACATAAGGCAGTAAATAAGGGTCTTTTATTTATTTTTTTAAATTTTTTTTTTTAGTTGTCAATGGACCTTTATTTTACTTTATTTATAAGTGGTGCTGAGAATTGAACTCAGGGCCTCACACATGCTAGGCAAGTGCTCCACCCACCACTAAACTACAGCCCCAGCCCAAGAGCCTTTTATTTTTTAAGGCCCTATATACCATTGTCTGAGAAGCACCAACACACACTGTATTTACCATGTGCTGAATAAACATCTGATTTCATGTTGCACAATGCCCTAACCAGCCCAGCTGCTTTAAACCTGGTCATAGAATGACCCCAGTACAAGCTCTACCTCAGGGCAGTTTCCCTCTTGAAAGACATCATACAACCTATTGCCAAGCCTACTGAAAGGAAGGAAGGAGAAGGAAACTGGATCTAACATCCTAACAAACCCCACACATGTAGGTTTCTATAAGACACCTGTCTGCTGCCCACAGGCCCACCCCGACTATGACCTGTCATTTTCCTTCAAGTCTGTGTCCAAGAAATAAAGTTAGAAAACTAGGATAAAGTTTCAAATGCAAAGTCACAGGACGTGGACTTTGGTCTCCAGCAAGGACTTGCTTAAAGTGTTGCAAGGGGAAGAGTTGAGAAGTGATGTAAAAAAGACAGAGGAAACCATAAGTCTCCTCTCTCCCGGAGACTTTGACCATGGTTTCCTCACTGGAGAACTTTTGTTTGTTTTTTCACAGTTCTAGGAATTGAACCCAGGGCCTTATTCATGAAGGCTCTACTACTGAGGTACCCTCAGTCTTTTCACGAGGAAGTTTTGAGCATTAGCCTATGGATCAGCTTGGCCCTTGGTAAAGCTGGGCATGTGTTTTCCTTGGAAAGGGCTTAGCCATTGAGGATCTCATTATTTCCCACAGGGGAATCTCTACACTGTATGGTATGGAGGCTACTGTGGGTCACAGAGTGAAAATGCCTTGTTGAGCAGGGAAAGATGCAAAAGAGATAGAGATGAAGCACTCTGGTCCCAGGGTAGTGTGTCAAATGACATCTCCAGAATGACCATACCACTGTCTTTAGTTGTCCTCCTGGCTTTACAAGGGACCTGTTTCAACCTTGATGATAAAACCAGGGCTTTAGAAAGCCGCTTTCTCTTTTCCATCCAAGAAGCAGTGGCCCSGGGACAGAAGACTGCGGGACAGAAGACCTTTAAATAGGAGCTCCTGAAAAAGCAGTTCAAGGCTGCTCACTTTGCGCAGTCTGGCTCTTTGGGGGCGCTAGGTACAGCTTSCGCCCACTCCTGAAAGGGAGTCTCTAGACCTTTCTCGGAAGCTCATATGGGCCCCCACTTCTGTCCAGGGGCAGAGCTTCGCCAAGAACACTTTCTGAGCCCTCTTCAGGCCTCCTCCCCAAGCCCGCGCCCAACCTCCCCTCACCTTGAYGGTGTCCAGAGGATGCCCCACGAACACCAGACACACGCCGCCAAAGCCGCCAGCCACAAAGTTCTTGAGCGGGCTGATAGTCTTTGGCTCGTCTGCCATGGTCAGTCCGTCCGTCAGTCTGCCTGTCAGTTCCTGGCAGTCTTGCTCCGGCGCCCTAGCTGCAGCACCAGCGCCGCAGACCTTTCACCTACTTTAGATTAGGCGGGGCATGAGCCGGGGCAAGTCAGGAGGAGGGCCCAGTTGGATTAGCGGAGCTTCCATCAAGACGCTGCTTCCGGCTGTGGCCCCGCCTTAACGGGCGTGGCTTGGGTGTGACTGACCTTCGCGCGGTAGGAGTGATATTAGTTGGGTTTATTCCTCCTAGGCGTTAAGTGTTTCCTTCGCAGGGCTTTTGGACTCACATTCATTTACTCACTACACAAAGGTCTCTTGCACCCTGCTCTCGTACCCGGCACTCTTTCAGGTCCTGGAAGCGCAGCAAACGTATTTCTGTCCTGTCGAGTTTACACATCCTAACAAAGATAAATGAAAAATGCGTAGTGTATCAGACGGTAAAAGCCGCTCTAGAGAAAAAAACCCGGGAAGAGTTTGTGTGAAACAAGTAATTTGCAATTTTAACTAGTTGAGTAAGGGAGGATCTCTTTAAGGTTGACTGTATCCAAGATCTGAGAAAGTGGGGGAAGTGAGTCCTATCCATAGATACAGGGTGGAAGATCAGAGACCTTTCAGGCAGGGGGAAAAGGAAAATGCAAAAGCCAGAGGTGGTTTGTGCTTGGCCTGTTTGAGGAATCACAGAGGAGGAGAGGAGGAGCTATTGAGGATAGAAGTAAAAAGAAGCACATCAAGACTTGATGCTTCACTATGAGGGCATCAGCCTCTTTTCCGAAGGAAATGGGAATTGTTGCAAGGTTCTGAGCAGATCTGACTCTGGGCTAATAGATTCACTCTAACTATTGGTGAATATGGATTGTAAGGAACAAGGTGTTGTGTCCAACTACAATTAAAAAATAAATATTAAAAAAAGCAGTGTCGGGGGGGCTGGGGATGTGGCTCAAGCGGTAGCGCGCTCGCCTGGCATGCGTGCGACCCGGGTTCGATCCTCAGCACCACATAC